CCTACCTCATCACAGTTGACTACTACTCAAACTTCTTTGAAGTGGATCGCCTACAGAACAAGACAGCTAAAGAAGTCATCCTCAAACTCAAACAACACTTTGCCCGCCACGGCCTGCCAACTACCCTGATATCCGATAATGGCCCACCCTTTAACTCTACAGCTTTTTCCGACTTCCCCAAATGCTATGGCTTTGTCCACAACACAAGCTCACCCGGTTTTGCACAGTCCAACGGGAAAGTCGAAAACGCAGTCAAGACAGCAAAGTCAATCATGATTAAGGCCATAGAGTCCTATAGTGACCCATATCTTGCCCTGCTCGACTGGCGAAACACACCCACTGAAGGAATGGACAGCTCTCCTGCACAAAGACTCTTCAGTCGGAGGACCCGAACCCGACTACCTACTGCAACCTCGCTGCTGACGCCAGAAGTCCCTAGAGACACCTTAGAAAAACCGCAGCGTCGCAAAGCAAAGCAAGGCTTCTACTTCAACGTCGGAACGAAGGAGCTACCAGAACTGCAGGTGGGCGACACCGTACGCATCAAACCTCTCCAACCAGCTAACGTCCATAAGCCCTGGGTCAAAGCAAAAGTCCAACACAAATCTGACATACGCAGCTACGAAGTCCGCACGGCAGACGGAAGACAGTACCGTCGCAACAGGAGACACCTTGTCTCCGTGAGAGAACCCGCCAATGAACCACTAACCCCCACAAGCGATAGTATCCCAGTGTCAGGACATAATTTGAGAGACAAACCCAGTCTCACCGAACCAGCCACACTCACTGACAACCAGAAAGCACCCACCACGCCCTTACCGGAGGCACCTGAAGTGCACCAGGGACACTATCAGACAAGGTCAGGACGAGTCAGCCAGCCACCCTCCTATTTGAAGGACTATCCAACCTAATCATTAACTGTCATGCAGACAAACTGCAAACCAGACTTTCTTTATTTCATATATCACCATTTGTTCCTGTTCGTTGAAACATCGATTATAGAAAATTATTAATTACCCAGTCTCTCTATCTGAGGAAGGGGGATGTGACGTTATATCCACGTGATTTCAATACATTAGCCATTGTAATACGATAGTATTTACCGGCAGTCAACACACGTGTGTAACCCGGCAGATGCTAAAATAAAGGACTGCTCCCACAGACACAAACTCTTGTCTATCCATTGAATACAACGTTACAAAAACCACATTATCTTGCAACACCTCCGCCGACGCAGCACTACGTACAGTTTCTATAGAAACTTACTCCTTTTACTCACTTGTCTAATTTGGTTGCCTGCCGACTTTGTATCGTTATCACTTCTTTAGAGTTGAGCAAAACATCATTTGAAGGCAGCTCTCTTGAGATAACCATGACTTTTTGAAGAACCCAAATATGATGACGCAGCCGGCTCCGACTGTAGTCCAGCAGGTAATGCTTCTTCAAAGCCGAAGCGTAAAGAATATTTTGCGACAAGTTATCATTAAATTAGGGCATGTTATCTTGAATTTCTTTGTATTTCTTGCCTAATAACACAAAGTCTTCTTCCCACATTGGGGCAGAACTTTAACTTCATTTCCAAGGTATTTGCTCAAAGGAATGCTTTCAGCTGTTCAATTAAGTTATTTCAAAATTAGAGCTTAACAGAATTATCGTATCATATCATAATTTATGACTTATAGAGCGAAAAATAGATGTGGATATGATCTAATGCGCTATACAATAAGACTAAGCAGAATAAAATATGAAAACGAACTATAAAAGGCTAAGAATATACAATTTGAAGGACTAAAAAATATGATAACGAACTATAAAAGCAAACATGAAAATGTCTGTCTGAAGAGAAGTGTTTTGAAACAATTAAGATCATTTACTGCTCTTATATTTGATGGAAATCTGTTCCAAAGTTTAGGGGCAGACGTCATAAATGATCTATCACCTAAAGTTTTCTAATGGTCCTGGGTGGCAATAGCTGTAGTTCAGACTGAGATCGTAACGTCATACGTCCGAATTATTGCTTAACATTAATTAGATCCGTAATGGAGTTTCTTTGTCATCCGATGCATAGTTCTAAAATTGCCTGTGATGATAATTAATTCAAATGAACAAAAACAACCAGATCTATTCAAAATATAACAACAAGAGTTGATAGGGAAGGATAATTTTTTTGGTCCTTTTTCCATCGAGACCGATAGTCTTCTCAGTTCTCATAATGATGTTTAGGATCAAAGGAATAACTTAAAATTGATCTCTCTTGTAGGTAGAATTTATACACCGAAAGACAAGATGCAAATGTTAAAAGAATTTTCAGAAGTATCAGAAAAATAACCGTCACAGATGGGTATCAAAGCTTGGTTAACCAATGGCTCCCAAGATCTGCGTAATCTGTCACAAATGCATGATTACTATAAAAAAGCTGCAACCAGAATTAATCTCTTGCGATCAATTCGTCCTTTGATCGACCAAAAGTGTGCAGAATCGATCTATAACACTATGATCGCACCTATTTTTACCTATTGCGGAACACTTGGTCTTAGCTTTCCGGATTACCGAAAGGAAATGATAAAGAACATCGAACGACGAGGCTTTAAAGTTATTGGCAATAGTTCTTTTAATCCCCCATCCGTGAACAATTTGATCAAGCGTAAAAGCTGTTTGTTTGTTTTCGACTGTCTCCTGAATAATGTTTGCACACCCTTTAAGAACTACTTCGAAAGACTGGTTCATTCTAAGGCCACTAGGAATAACGGTATATCAGTGAAATTACCCAAAGTACGTTTAGAATTTGGTAAAAAGAGCTTCTATTACCAAGGAGCAAAGACTTTCAACAACCTGCCTGCTGAACTAAGGTCGTTAGATTCGAGACTGAAATTTAAGAACAAATTGCGAGATTATTTTAGTTAAAAATTCGATCTAAACGTGGTTATAGGTATCCTTTTTCAGAGCATTTTATTTTATTGTATGCTTTTCTAGACCTTAAGATCAATGATTATATCTTGTTAAGTTTTATTTTATTTATTTATTTATTATTTTGACAGGACCCCAAGGACAACAGTGTTACACACTGATGGGTTTTCAATCCTGTATAAAAATTCGTTATTATTATTATTATTATTATTATTATTATTATTATTATTATTATTATTC